CCTAGCCTTGGCCTCATCTGCCAGATGCTGTCCGACTTCGTAGAGCAGTTCCTTATTCCAAGTCGCTGCGAGAGAAACGCCGCAAGGGAATAGTGCAGCCTTGTATAGTCAGTTACCCATCATTTGGAGTACTCGGTCAAAATGACAGACCTTGGTTCCCCCGACAAATATCCCCCCGCGAGCACCATTGGGACCATCTGATGTCTTGATCGCTGGGATATTCCTGGATGGGATTGTCTTTGTTCTCCAAAAGTCTGCGGCTGTAAGTAGAGATACCTCCAGAAAGAGTCAGCAACATTTCTCCATATTACTGAAGGGACTTCATTAGCCGTACCTTCTCTTCAAGCGTGAGCTGCTCCAATTTCTTCCTCGCTGCCACCCTGGTGTCCTTCATTATCTGCTGCACCTTTTGTTGGGGGCTGTATGGAGGAGAGAACTCCGTGTTTGGGGTTGAGTTGCTCATCTCGGTCTCTGGGGGAGTGGCTGGCGGATCGACTTCGTGATCCTTAGCTCGCTGAGCCAAACTATTCATGTTGGGGTCGAGCTCCAGTCTTCAGACCGAAACACTTCCAACTTGCGTAGCAAGACGGACAGCGAAATGTTGTGGGTTGAAAGATAGCGATGGCAAGGATACAAGGAGCCTGACGCCAATGCCCAAAGGTATGTTCAGTGTAGAAAATGGAATGAGAAAGGTCAAACCATAAAAGAAACCCTGACAAGTAATCGTGTCGTTTGCAAGACGTGCTTCCTCGAATCTGACCACTACGGGGGGAAATTCGACATGTAGTAAGCTTCAGATGAGAGAGAAGCAATACGGTAGTGATGGACTCATATAAGACTTATATGGAACCCGAGGCGTGGGTGCACTGCCAGCACAAACGCTTTTCAGCAGACGAGGCCGACATTTAACCGGTACAAATGAAAGATCATCACTAGGTATCAAGATAATATGGGCCAACGGCGGAGAGAAAAAAGACGGGAATGATAGCAACAGGTGTGGAAGGGGGTGAGCGAGGAAGATGGCAAGATACCACACAGGCAGGGGACGTAAAGAAGACTAGTATGCGCAGGGACGGAGAGCCACTTCTCCCCGGATAAGGAACAAACGGAACCCCCATTCGTAATATGCCGGGTGTATGAGGGTATTTCTCCGTCCGTATATGATACAAAACGGAGGCATCGGGTCAGTAGGAGGATGGGAAGACCTCATGCGCAAAATACTTCAGCTCTCCTGCAGGTGAGGGATGCCGGTATTCCGCTGACTGCTGGCGCGTTGATAACCCAGAGTGCCTTCTTGGTCGACGTCCCATACAGGATGTTGACTTGCAAGGTCCATGCCTGCTCTCCATGGATGCTGCGCCTTTGTTATTTTGTTGCATTCTGGGCAAAGTAGGCACGCCGGTAGGGGCGGACCGTTTCTGCGGTGGAAGTTGAATAAGCTGAGAAAACTGCACAGGTTGGGGTTGATTATTTGGGGAGTGCATCAGATTGACAAACTGACAGTGAATAGTGTGACTGAGTGGGGGAACCAGGCACACCGAAGCGCTGTACAGCTTCCCGTCAGAGCATTCCCAGGGGGTGAGGTTAGCTAAATCGTGCATCTTCTTGGTTGTAACATCGGTTACGGTTCCGTTTAAAGCATCGTACCTTTTTTCAGGGCTGCCATGTTCGTACCTCCATCATTGCATGGCCGCAAGATGTGGAGCTAGCACCAGCTAACAGTAACTAGAAAAAAGCCCGAAGCAGGATGGCGCAGGAAGATGCAGGACCGTATGCTTCGAGAAAGTCGTTGGCCCTGTTTTCCTTGGCCTAACGTGTCCGTTGCATCGTGATAATCGACTCCGAATTATGGCAATCTCCAGCAGCATTAGGATGAAGAACCGCCATTGACCTTGTCTTATTGGAATGTGGGATCCCAGAACAAGCCGAAAGATTTGTGGTGAGAACCAAGATTCACCTCAGTATCCCCGCATGCCTCCAGTCACTCCACATAGCCTCTCCATGGGTGTGTTAGGATGGGGCCCCCGGCATACCGGTTGCTATCGCCGCATGGTCATGGATACAGGGACCGTCGGACAGGCTGGCCTTCGTCGCTTCCATCCGACGAAGAGGGCCTCAAGGTGGGATCGCTTCAGAACTGCGCATTGCGTGCAAAGTCCAGCTGATAATTCTCAATAATCAATCTACTGAAATAATGCCACGGATACCAAACCAGCTGACGAACATGGTCTGCTGCTGGCTAATGCTTCGAGCGGCCAATGGTGTGAAGTATCTCACGGTGCAATGTCCAGGCACCATCTTCCGACGGCCCTTCGATGCAGAGAATCTTGCAATGCCGGGACTTGGCAGTTTGGCAGTGGCAATTGCACACAAAGCACACCAATGAGGCCACTACCCGTGCTCTCGCAGCACAGCAAGAAGCTGGGCATCTTCAGAGCTTCTAGAACCCGTAAGAGATCGGCATCATGTACAGTTGAGTGGTGAGAGATATAAAGGGCCGCATTTGGCCACTGCGATTTCAGTGGTGAAGGCGGCTATGGTTGGGAGAGTGATGTCCAGTAGGATAGGACGGACGGGAGACTGCATATGGCTGACAGGAGCATTTCGAGATCCACGTTGCCTTTTCCTCGCTCCTGCACCAACCCTGACTAGAGGATCCAGCTGGCGGCGCGACGGCCCGGCTTGCCCGTACGGCCGCGACGGATTGGCTAACCGGAGAGAAAATGCCAGGGGTGGTGGGGCCCGAATTCCGAGTCCCAGAGGGACGGCTTTTGACCATGCTTGTTTCCCGTAGCGGCATGACTGGTGTCGTTGTTGCTGGTGATTCTGTGTTGTCCGAAAATCGTTCCTCAGCTCTGGCAAGCCTGCTGTTGGTCAAAAATATGACTGTCTGAAGCGTCGAGGCTGCAATGGAAGATTAGGCCGTTGAATCGCAGGCTCTGGACATGATCAACGCCAGAGTTTGCCATGCCGACTGTCAGTCTGAACTTTGATTTGCAGAGCGTACGGCGAATTCTATTTCCATGAACCGGGATTGTAGCCAGACGTCTTTGTTGTTTGGAACGAGAAACCCGACACGGGGGATTGCCGTTGACAGGATGTGCCACGGACATGGAGGGTTGCTTCGAGGTACGGTGTCCGGCGGTGCCTGGTTTCTGGGCATGGCGGGATTCCGAAGTGTTGGAGGGCATGGTCCATCGACAAACGCCAGAGTGCGACGAGCCGAGCGAACAACTTCGACACGTCCAGGCATCGAGATGTTCTGGCGATTGCTGCCTCGCTTGCATGGCGAAGTCGCATTCTCGATTTAAAGAAGAGGATCACCGCCGCCTAGCAAGCCGTTTGGCGCAAATGGATGACACCCTGGAAGCGGTCGATAATAGAGTTTGTCCAGGGTATCAACCTCTGTGCGCTGGCGTGCGAACAGAGGGTGTGCGGTTTTGCGGTTCAGGAACCGGTTCGATCAGCCATCTTGTGACGAAGGTTCATCCCATCGATGTGACGCAGACAACAGAGGTTCTTCGCTGCTCCATTCCCGCTGGGACTTCACATGCAAAATCTTCCATGACGAGGATCGGAGATGATGCAGGCCGGTGATATGCAGTAATTTGGTCGTCAAGCTCTGCATCTGCATGGGCAGGCAGGAAGTCAAGTCGGGGTGTTGAGATGTGGAGGTTGCAATATGTGAAGGAAGCATCACGGAAGGAGGATTGCGCGCTTGGCAGTGCGAAGTTGGGGAAGGTTCCCATCGGTGCCCCGCTTTGCCCTCTTTCCAACACCGGAGCTCAGAAAAGCGATCTGGACGTCGCGGAAGGAGCAGGGGAGTTCGGGTACCTGAATATAGCAAGCGGAGACAATATGACCTGCCTCGCTTGCCATGCGGCGACCCAACTCACGACGGGAAACAACCAGCCGGAAGTTTTCTGGGCCGCCCTTTCTTCGTTCCCGTCCCGTCTTCAGGTTCATGGAAACGGCCCTCTAGAAGGTTCTTAGTGTCTCTCGCGGGGAAGCCACCCAGTAGGTTAGAGTCTCGCCAAGGAGAAACTCGCAAAACCGCCTCATCCGAATGTCTGGTTGCCTTGTCTTGCATCTCCTCAATAGTGTGTCTTTTTTGAGAAGTTGAGTCAGTCCCGGACTCTGTAACAGAGGGCCAACATCACTGAACCTCCACGGAGCCGATCCGAACGGTTCCCGATCCAGAGTTTTGGCAACTGTCAACTCGGGCTGTGTGACGCCTATGTTTCCAGAACAGCGCGACTTTCTCGGTACAGACTACGCGATTTTCTTATACCTTCAAGTCGCGATGTTGTCAGCCAACACTCCACAATCCCCAGACTCCAGTTCCCCCGCAGAAACTCTTCTCCACCCGGCCGGCTCCATGGCTGGAAGTGGGCTATCGGAGCTCCTCCGATGCCGCCAACTGCCGCAGACATGATGAACGCATTGCACGCTCATCCTTGTCCGGTGGGACCTCGCCGTACTCACGCTTCTCAGCGACCAAACAACTCCCCTATCGCGGAGTGGCCCAAATGTCGCCAAAACTGTTTCCTATCACCGGCAGCCGATCCATACATCCATCCATCAATAGTATCATGGTCTTTGCCGCTCCCGACTGCCGTCCGGTCGGTCCCATCCCCGAAACATCATGTACGTACTAAACGATGAATAGTTTCGATTTTCCAGGTTTTGCTCTCCCAATGGCAATTTTTGCAATCACTTGTCAACTCTGAATCTTTCAAATTTCCCGAATTGCGAAATCCTTGCAGCAACTAAAACCGAGGCCCTGCAGCATAGTAACACGACTACACCACTCTCGTGCATTCCATCCCTCCCTAAATGGTATCGCTTGCATGAAAAAGGGCTAGCGAAGACTCGTCGCTGTGACCTCCCCATCGCAAATCTTACGACGGCTTCTCTTGGCCGAGGCTTAGTGCCGTGTTTACATACGGTATCTTACACATGCCTTCGGGCCCTTCCTGCAGCAAACTACGGTGCCGACTATGGTCGAATACGAACTGCAGGCGTGGGAGCCGCAACTTCCAAAAGAAGAAGCTCATGGCACACCAAACGACAGCCCATTGCGACATCAAGAAAAGCAAGAAGACAACGTACAACGCTCACCGGCGCAATGCCCGCAAGATACTGACGAGGACGACACGACGCAGAGTTCCGCCCTAGGATCTTCGGCCCACGAGCCGATTTCCCCAAAGAAGCAAAGTTTCGTCCGACGCTTCTGGAGCGAGCAGATCAGCGTTGTAGTGGATTTCGACAGCTGTCGTGATCATCTAGGTACGTGGTACAACCCTCTCTTGCCCGTCAATACTATTCCAAGTGGAGTTTCATACATGGCAAGTTATCAAGATCAAGGATTCGGGGACTTTCACATCCTCTCCGCGGTCCACGGAGCCAAACCTCCATAATGGAGATGAGCCTGGCAATGACGGGGATGTGCTCATGATTCATCCCCAGTTCATTTGTGCTGAGGCCATGGTACCGTTGCCCGAAACCCTTTAGTTCTCTCAATCGCAATTGACCCTGTCCTATCACTGACACGACGTCTCTGCCTCGCCAAAGCGCTTGAGCGGACTTTCCTAGCGTATCTCCGTACAGGAGTCGCGACAGCAATCCTCGGAACCATCGTCGCCCAACTATTTGCCCTGCAACAAGCAGATTTAGGATTCGGATACGCCATGCTTGGTAAGCCTCTAGCCACCGTATGCTATGGTCTTTCGATATGCACAACCCTGCTCGGTGCCTGTCGGGCTTGGAGGCTTCAAAAGGCAATGCTTCGCGGAAAGGCGATCGCCGGCGGGTTTGAGGTCACGTCACTCGCTGTGGGATTCTTAGCGGTAGGTTTGTGGAACATGACCAAAGGAGGTTGAGAAACCCGTTGGCTGATTCACCGCAGCTCGTTCTCATCTTCTTCGGTCTTTTGATAGCCTTGGACATTGTCAAGGAATCGACAGTAAAGTAATGGGACTGTAATTGGCCGTATCAAACTCAAATGGTTATGAGGAATCATAGCTTCACTTATTCCAAGGAAACCCGTTCCAACACCAGTCGTACCAACCTTTTTCCTCTGCCTTTTCCTTCTCCTCCTTGGCTGTTTCGATCGCATCAAAGTAAAACTGTTGCTTAGTTTTACCGGCCGCCTCTGTCCGCACTTTCTCAATGCCGACACAGACATACTCAGCCATGTTTCGAGATCCCTGCCGCTCGTACAGGTCGTCCGTAATGAGACTGATCTGCTGCTGTAGTCTTTTCTGCAAATATTGGGCATGGTTCAATTCGAGAGCCAATCTTTCGTTCTGTTCTTCAAGCTCTTGATAGCGAATGGCATGTCGAACCGACTCGAGCACCGCAAGACATTTTGAAGATGCCCATCGAGCCTCTCAATCGCCCAAGACTCTGCCTCGATAATCCTTTGTTCATTCTCTTGGCTCTGGGAACCCTTCTTCAGAGCGTATTCTTTGCTTGGCAGCAGCGCCACTATGGCAGCAATCACAATGCCTACCAGGAATTCGGAAGCGAATAACGGCGATATCAGAGTCAGGAACCACGTTGCAAGCGTTATGTTATCGTTTCTTGCAGATGTTGCAACTTCGGCTCTTTGTCGGTACTCATCGCCTGAAAGAAAGTAGTCTACCCTGTCAATGATATTCTGACCATCTTCGATTGCTTCAGATAAGAGAACCTGTGGTTGTTGTGCTACTCAGTGAAGTTAGGCTTCAGAAACCCAAGACGTAATAGATAGGGGGCTCGTGTACTAATACTTTCTGGTCCAGAAGATGCCAACATAGCTTTGCGAACGGCCATAATCGGGCTGTAGCCTCTGAACTCAACTGCGGCTCGCGCTGCATCGCCCAGGCACCCTGAGAGTACAATCCACTCCCGGTCATCATCACCGGAAAACTTGCATATTGACCTATGATCGCGATCTGCCACCCGGCAAAACTCTTGAGCAGACGAAAGACCAAGCTTGGCGGAGTCTTCTGGAACGATCTGTTGACAGCATGTTAAAAGGAGCTCTTTAACCTTGGAAAACTGGAGTAATAGGCTTACAATGCCGAAGTAATCAACACTCAGTCCCTCAATCCAGCTGTAGACCTTATATGCTTCTATAATAGGCTCAAATCTCGCATTCAGCTCCTTGTTGTAGTTGGATTGCTCCGTTACACTCTCGAGAAAAGAATTACTTAGCTCATTCACGTATAGTATATTCCTCAGTATTTGTCCCCATGCGGCAAAAGGTGACCACTTATGGGGCACAGCGAGAAAGAAAATGCCATATGTGCACATCCATATCATTGGATAAGTTTTGTGCTCTTTGTATGCCATGGATAGGGCTTCCTTGACGATGACACCTCCCAAGCTGTGTGCGATAAAGATCATCGGCCTTGTTTCGTTCATCTGCATGCGAAAGTTATTAGCCATGGCGCTTACATAAAGGGCATTTCTTGTACTGAGAGCGACAGAACCTTGCGTGCATTCTTGAGACAGTTTAGAAGATTGATTGATTGTGCTTTGACACCGGCTATGGAGCTGCCAGATGACACCTTGGCGTTGTACTGGAACGCCAAAATTCTCGCGAATGGAAGCCGCCTAGGCAACAGACTTCGAAGCCAATTGACTCCATTCTCATGTGTCCATGTGTTTTCCGCGTGGCCTGAATTGCCTTTCAAGTTCATTCCATGCAAGGTAATGACGCTAGGTAAGTGTTTAGCTGAAAAGACGGGACAACATACTCACGGGGATACTTACTCAAGCGATGGCTCCAATGGATTTGAGATGGCAGTGAACGTGTTGGAGCTCGATTGATCCGCCATTTGGAAAGCCAGGGGTCATTTGACTATGTTACTCGACTGGAAACTCAGGGTTAATTTAGGCCACTTTTCTGACTTAACGATGCCGCTTTTCGATCGATTAATCTTCCACGCTGGATATGACTCTTGACATTGGGCGAGGGCCACCTTTGCGAGAAAACCCCGCGCGTAGCTGCCCAAAGCTATCACATGACTGGGCTATCATTGGAAGGATGCAGGCGATTATGATTTGATGAAGAAGATGTAGGTTGGGTCACACAAGTTTCCGTTGGAACATCTCAGGTGGGGGCAATGACGGATACAGATGCCAAGTACGAGGATGTTTCCTTTGGAAAGATAATCAACAAAATCATTGCTCGATTCAAGCAATTGACAGGATAGCACACGATTTACGATAAAGTGTCATTATGCAAGCCGAAGGCCAGCTTTTGTTGACCGCCGATCATCTCACAAGGTTCATGTCAGAGTTGTGTTCAGACAGTGCCAAATCAACAACGGCTTTCTATACCAGATGACTACGAAATGAATCAAAGCCCCCCCCCCCTCCCAGATTAGTTCTAATTTTCCCCTTCATCAGGCGATCGTGAGCTCGGGTACAGTCAACGGTCGGAGGTGATCCACCTGGTGTCCGAGCCCGGGTCCGGGTGAGGCGGCGGCGGGATGGGTACATATCACCGGTACCCCGCCACTTCTTCCAGGCAGAAGCCCACGTGCCACCACTTGACTTCTCCCTCATCACATCTCCGCTTAGACTGCTACTTCAAACGTTATCTGTTCCTCTCCACTATCAACCCTCTCCCCTCCGGAACTTTTGCAACCAAAGAAGCCCATTCGGTGGTTCGCCTGTCGGCTGTTCTCCATGAACCATAGCCGCTGCAACTATTACGCCTTGCTTCAATACCGGCTGAAAAGGGTTGAAGTGCAAACAATCCTCCGTCTAGAAATTTTCGATCTCGACTTTCTCTCCCGATGATTAGCTCTGCCCATCCGGAAGGTATCGTGGTTGCAAGTGGCGCCAACGTTCCGCTCGGTGACCAAGCGGGCCCGGGGCAGGTGCATTCAGGCAGACGCCGGAGAGGGCACGGCAGAGGTATGGCAATTGTCGAGAAACTCTAACCCGCGTGTGCTCACGAAGATCGATACAGGGCCGGTCGACATTGAGCGACAATGCGGGGTTGCCTATGCGAATGGGCGTATGTGTGGCGCGGCGTTGACCTGTCGGAGACACTCCATGGGAGCCAAGAGGGCGGTGGCTGGGCGGTCTGCACCATTTGATGCCTTGTTATCCGCTTTAATGGAGCAGAGACGTCAACGAGGGTGTTCATCTGAACTCTTGGTTCATACTGTTCGTCTGTCTAGGTGATTTTCAAGTTCGTAGCAGACTATCCGGCGACGGTAATGTCGTTAGTACAAGAGTATTTTTGAGCACTAATACAAGAGACGTGTGAATCACAAATTGATTAGACTTCCATAACGCGTTAATCTTACTTGAGTCTATCTGCCGCGTGGTTATTAGAAGTTGAGCTCGGGCGGAAGTGGGATAATCAGGTGAGAGCCACGCGGACGGCGCGATTACAAGCCAATCGCGGACGCATTCGCAAAGCCTGTGGCCACAGAACTAAAGCCACAGCATCGGCGCGGATGGCGTGCTCATAGGTAAGCAGTGATGAGACTACGAGGGAAATATATATCTAGATATATGGGTATCAAGATACAGGCTTGGAGGAGTTCGCGAAGAGTTATAACAATACACCTCTTACCTAGGTGAAAATTATGTTGGCACTATTGGTGAAGATCATTCCATATTGTACGCCTGAATCCAAAATGAGTAGAAATGTCCTATAAGGGGATGAGACAATTCATACAGTACGGTTTTTCGGTCATTAGCTTTTGATGCAGGTCTATTTCTCGTGGGCGGTGGAGACTTGCTGTGGGCGTCAAGCCACCTCCTCACGTTGAAGCCATCTACTGGTCCCTGAAGATAATCCCAAAAGCCTAGCACAAGCTTTTGCGTGAGCGGAAACCTCCTGAGGGTATACGTCCCGCTCGGAGCATGCTCCATAGACTCCCAAGAGGCTTATAACATGCTTTTGAGCTTTACGAATACTTTGAATTAAAGCGAGAGAAAGGACGGGTGAGGCGGACGAGACACGCGAAGCTTCTGACTGAATTTGTGGACATAATAGGCTGGCACAGAGTGACTTATCTAGTGCCGTCAGTCTGATGGGTAAAAAAGTACTGGCTTTTTCGGAGCGGTATTGCGCCGTGACAATTTTCGACTGCAAAATACTGTCAAATAGGACAAATGAAAAAGCAAAAGCATCAAAAAGGAATCACCCTTTTCATGGCCCTCGACGAGATTCGAACGAGCGCCCCTCTCAGACAACCAGAAGCGTCTCTAGAGAAGAATTTGATTTATGCTGTTCTTGTTTTACCAACTGGGCCACTTGGCCCTAGCTGAACTGGTTGAAAGCAGATGGGATGGAAGTTGGTCAAGTAAGGTAGGTAGGTACGAGAGATGGAATGAAGTGGTGGGTCTGGGTGGTGGTGAGTTGCACTTGCCAAACAACGAAATATTCAAGGATGTCACAACGCACTTTGGGAAAGCGTAAGGCCGGTACGAAGCGTGTGGGCCAGACTGTGACAGATTCAAGGCAATGATGAGAAAACAAAGGTAAATCTCAGCAACATATACAGGTAATCACATCGTAGCGGGACCTTCTGAGATGTGACGATAGAAGGGTTGCAAGTTTGCAAATTCCGAATCTTAGAGTGCGCAGGTTGAGGAAGATTCATTTTTGTTGGGAATGTGGTGTGAGCTATGCTTTGAGGGGTCATTTCAACTGCAATATCACCAGGTCTCCAATCACGATGTCACATACGACGCCTCAACAAGATCCGCCAAAGCGAACCAGTTGCCTTGCGGCGCCTTGCCTGGCGAAGAAGCATTCTGGGCAATATTGTTCGTTTGCTTCAGTAAAAGCTGCCCTCGAAGCGCTTTCCTTACCCTCTGTCGTTTTACCTCATCTCTCCATGCGGCCACTTGTCGAGGGGCATCGAGACTCCTGACATGTTCCTCTATTTCGCACGACGCTGAAGTTCAATTTGACTTCTTAGATCGCTAAAAGGGACCATTGAAATGACAGGGATG